AGTGCATATTTTTAATTTGGAAAAATTATAAAATTATATCCTTAAATAAATAAAATTAAAAGTTTACCATTAAAATTAGAAACCAAAAAAATTTACGACCGTATGTCCTCAAATATTCTTATCCTTATCAGAACCTTTTTTTCCATTTTCCTTCTGTTTCTGAACTCCAATTCCTTACTTTCTGGTTTTAACTTATCAAAATTAAAATCATGGTTATCTTCTTCCACATCTTCTTCCTCACCGCTACCACTTTCACTTTCGCCTTCACTGCTTCTGTCGCCACGGCTTACCCCACCGTTCGAGACATCAATACAGCCGATTGTGAACTCGCCACGGGAGGTGAAAACCCGATTCCTATTCGCCGAGAAGTATACGGTGATGGAAGAATATTCGACATAAGCCACATGTACAGAAGCGACATGCCAGCATGGAATTCCAAGCATGGTCTGGGACAGTTCCTGTGGTTACCTGCCAGCATGAAGAACGGCTCACTCGCCAATAATTCGGAGATGAAGATGTCCGTTCACACCGGCACTCATGTGGATGCTCCGGGACACGTCGTTGGTCGATACTTCGACGCCGGCTTTGACGTTGATACACTTGATTTAGAGACGCTTAACGGTAAATTTTGGTGTAATTTTGTTTATTTGATTTGATTTTTTCTGACGATGCAAAATACGTTCAATCTCTTAATTTCCTGAGCTCTAAAGACTACAATGATAATTTGTTCTTTATTTGTAACTTCTATTTTCGTTCTGAATGAAGTTTGAAGCTCTTGTTGGTAATTATGCTATGCATTTGATTATTGTTGTAATGATAGAGTTACTTTTTTTATTTCATAGGTCCTGCACTCGTGGTTGATGTTCCAAGGGATAAGAACATAACTGGTATGCATCTGTGGTGTGCTAGATTATTCTTCCTTCTTTCTTTTGTTTGATTTGAAGTCTTCTACTTTGTTTCCCATGTTGAATACTAAGTTATGATTTATGTGTTATGATGGGTCGTTGCAAATTCACAATGATTTAATAGATTGCATCTTTCCTTTGATCATGGATTGTTTAGTTCTTCTTTGCATAGTTGGACTTAGTGTAATTGCTTAATGAATTCCCAAAAGTTCTATTGTACAGGACCGATACAGTCACATCCTGTCATAATCTAATGTTTTAAACCATTTTTGGAAAACGGGTGGAGGGTTGGAAAGCTGTTCAGGAATACTTATCGCAAGTGGTAGTTTGCCCTTTTTTGTCTTTTTTTTATTCCACACCAACTATGGTAGCATACAAACCAATTTTTAGTTATTTATTTATTATTATTATTTTTAAATTTTTGCCTGCCCTAAGAGACATAGAAAGACAAGTAAATTATATTCAATTCATCCTTTCTGCTTTCGGCATAACGACATTTGTGATTGGTTGAGATGACTAGTTTTTCAGCTGTTCATGTTGCTATATGGCTGCAATATTTGGTAGCTTTCTTGGTATCTGCCTGTAACTAGTTTATGCTGGTGTCTATTTATGATAGCTGGAGTGATGGAATCTTTAAAAATTCCAAAGGGAGTACGTAGAGTTCTCTTCCGAACCTTAAACACTGACAGGTAGCAAGCACTAAATTTATTCTTTTAAAAGAGTTTCCATTATTATGGATCATTTTGATACCATAACTTAAAATTACTCGACAATTGGATCAGATTTTTTTCAAAAACAGGATGAGCTTAACTTTATTAAATTTCAGGCAGCTTATGTTTAAAAAGGAGTTCGATACAAGCTATGTGGGATTGACAATGGATGGTGCAGAATGGTTGGTAAAGAACACCAACATTAAACTTATTGGTAATATTAATTTCTCTAAAAAATATTAAGCTAAGCAACTTCATCCTGGAATTTTTTTAAAAGAATATTTTGCACCCATGCATATTATTATTGCTCTACATTGTGTTGAAATATGTATGCTATACTTTACTCATTGTATAGAAACATTTCATCCAAATATATTTTGTGCCTCAAAGCTATTAGCCCTTGCTTTTGGTTGTTTTATTTTTATTATTTTTTTGGCTTGTGTCATCCATGGTTCATCCCTAAAATATGCTCATGAATCTTTACAGTTTAGTGTCTTCACTTTGGTTACTAAAGCTGTTGAAACTTTACCAGAATCTCCAAACTCTTTTTCATCTACTGGTTTGATTCTATATCAGAAAATAATGCAAGGATGTTTGATTTCAAATTTCCATTTCACTTCATGCTTATTTGCTACTGTTTCACTCATTATTGCTATTTTCCTTCTAACTTTATTTATTGACAAGACTAACGGTTAACTGGTACATTTGATTTTTGTGAAATGTAGGAACTGATTACTTATCTGTTGCTGCCTATGATGATGCCATTCCATCTCATATAATTCTTCTAGAATTGCGGGTAAGAAATCATCATAATGTGATATGTTAATGCTTTTCGGTATGTTTATATTGACAATTTTAAGTTCTTGTCTGTCCTGCCCTGAAGTCATTACTTAGAAGTAGTACTGCATCTTGATTTCCAAGTTCAAGCTACTTTATAAGGGAATTAGAGGGAATATCTAGTATTCAGTTATTGTTTAGTTCAATGTCCATGGGTATCTTAAGATGTTTTCATTTCATAGATTTGGATTTTAGCTGAACCAAGAAGCATTGGTTGAGCATTAGTTGAGCATTTCAAAAGGCGGTTCAATGTTCATTTTAACTTCACTAGAATTGATTGTTAATGGTACATATTGGATAACAAGGGTCATAAACAGTTCTGCATATTCAGAAGTAAAAAGATCAAAGATAACTAAAACATGGAACTTCATTGCACACACCATGCAACTAATCCCAGCTAAGTTACAAATTGCAAGCTCTAGCGTCAACACTTGACTTGATTTCAAAATTGTAAAGTTACTCAATGTTCAGGATATCATTCTTGTAGAAAGCCTGAAACTTGATTGTATCGAACCTGGAATCTATTCTCTTCATTGCTTACCTCTAAGGTTGCTTGGTGCTGAAGGATCCCCAGCAAGATGTATTCTGATCAAGTGATGTTAATTTCTTGTAAGTGTAGCTCTCAGTTTCCACTTATTTAGGTGCTGCTAGCTGTTACTTTCCTATTTAGTTTTTTTATTAAGTCAATAAAAATATAAAACGATTTAGAACATCTATAGTGTTTTGTCCATTTCTTTCCTATGAAAGCAAGTGTGGTGGAATACTTAGCAGATCTGACTATATTTTCAGGAGAAATGCTTCCTCCTACTCCCCCCTCTTCCTCCATGTCTGAGTTGTAGTCACTCTTAAAAAGGAAAGAGCAGAAGTGGTGAGTCCTACCAAAAGGAATGTGAAGCTGGTGAAGCCCATATTTGAGAGTCATCCAAAGGTATTTTGTACAAGATGAAGTAAAATATCAAAAAAGTGTTTTATTGGTTGGACTATTTGTTAGAGTAGTCTTACTTATGAATTTATTAAAATATCTTTAATAAAATTATTTTTTATATTATTTTCTTAAAGGTATTTTCATTAAAGATACTTTAGTAATTTCATAGGTTAAATTGCACTTTTAATGTGTAGTCCAACGTGTAAAACATAAATCCCATAAAATATAACGTGTTGTTCAATCTGTAAAACATGAATTCCATAAAATATACTAGTGCATATATTGTGACATGCATATTTTTATATAGGTTAAATGCTTAATTTGGTCCTTTAACTTTAAGAAATGAATATTTTTGGTCCCTCAACAATTTTTTGCACTTTTTTGATCCCTCAACTATACGAAATGCACTCCGTTAGTCCTTCTGTTAATTTGGGCCGTTAACCTTGTTTACGTGACATTTTTTATATTTTTTTTGATGACGTGGAGAGCAAAATTTCAAAAAGTGATGACATGGATAAAATTTTTGCCATGTCAAATGCTATCTGACGAA